ATTCTGAGTCTCAGTGCTGCATTAGCTGGGTTTTTTCCTGCTTAATGGATCTTCATGGCTCAACTTCCATTTAAACACAGCACCTCTTTTACAAGGCCTAAGTGCTACAAAACAGCCTGTCTATAAATTAAAGTCAGCCTGTGTGCATCTGCACTTGGGAATGCTTTTTAAAGGGTTTTAAAAGCAATCAATTACAATAATTTGTACATTTAAAGATGCAACTCCAACAGTCAATCCAATTTTTCTTCTGATTATAAGGTAAATGTGAATGCCAGCTTGTTACTACTCCTGGGGTTTGTCTCTGCACAGAAATCATATCATTTCAAGGAGAAGTGCAGAACATATTTCACGCTTGTCTATGCATTTTTTTGTTCACTTGGATTATGATACCTTTGAAATTAAAGTGCAGCAGCGGTTTGTGAATGATTTAATGTGTTAGACACTTTTACTCTCAAGTAGAAGCAACTTGTTTGTTAATCCAAATATAAGTTCTACCAAATCAGAATAGATTCTCATCATCTGGAACAAAAATACCCAAGCTTTATCCTACGTAGCAATATCTCACACTGAACTAACGTGCAAACCAAGACTTCACTAAACACCACGTTCCTATAGGTAGATCAGGGCTGACATTCTACATTTCCCACTCTTACTGCCTGGGAGCTTTCCCAGCAGTGGTGCCAATGGGGACTCACTGCACAGCCCCTGCACACTGTGAAGCAGTTGCAGCCCCACTCCTCCAGCGAACAAGCGATCGATGCTGCTCTGCGGTAGGGAACCATGCAGCTGCCAGACTGCTCAGTAGATCGCATGTGGCGAACAGGGAACACTGTGCAAAGGGTGTGAATGAGTCATCCGACATTTGAGGTTGACTGAAGTCATTCTGCTACATTTACTTCTAATCTTGATGTGCTATCCACATTTGCATTTCGAGCAGAACGGGAAGAAAGATTTAAATTATTTGCCACGACACACAGCGGACTGCATGCGTTCAAGAAAGTAGTGAGGTGTTCAAGAAAAGGGTAGAAGGTGTTTAAGGACTGTGTGGATGTGGCACTGAAGGACATGGTTAGAGGGCATGGTGGGGATGGGCTGATGGTTGCACTGGGTGATCATAGAGGTCTTCTCCAACCTCAGTAGTTCTCTGTGTGTGAGCAAATGGGATTATATGCATGTTGGGGTGAAGGCAGCAGGCTGTGAGCTGCCTTTGCTACGCTTGGTCGTGAGCAGGCACTGCACACAAGCCTGAACACATCCAAGCAAAACTATATGTTTGAGCATTTGTGTCTCCAGAGATCTGATTATAAATGAAAGATGTTCGTTTGCAGTACCTGAATGGAGGAGCAGAGGTCCCACAAGCATATTTCAGGTGATGCGTATGTTGTGTTTTCCTGAGCAAATACAAATCTGAGCAACTGTGAATGCATTGGCCCACATACTCTTGGAGGATAGGCATGTCACACCTGTGCGTGTTGGTGAAAAGGAGCAACCACGAGCAAGTATCAGCTCAAGCTGGAATTTAGGCATTTCTCAAACATTAAATGATTTGAATGCTACTGCTAAAGATTTTCATGGAAAGACTATATAGCAACCTCATAAAGCACGATCAGGCCTCACATGAAGTTCCTTCACTTCTGGTTACAATAGATAGAAGCAGAACTGCTAGATAGAAGCAGAACTTTTCAGCATCTGACTGCTTACAGCTCCCACTGAAGCCAGATCCACATGCATTTAGCAACATTAAGTGTGAAGCCATTTTTAAAGCATGCACACCTGTGAGGCTTTGGCACCTCAATTCAAACCCTTGGATTTGAAATTCTGGACAAATATTTTCTTAGCTCTAATTTTAGAGGAAGAAAAAGCAATCATTATGGAGATGAAGATCCTGACAAAATGCTGCACAGAAGATATTTTCTGAAGGCGATGGAAGCGAGTGTAAAAGATACTTCATGAGGCTACTCAAAGGGCAACTTGCAAGGAGACTGAACATGGAGAATCTGGCTGTAGATACAGAAGCAGGCCTACACAGCAGCTAATGCTGGAGAAAGTAAAAGGTGGGGCAAGTAAAGCACTCTCACCTCAAGCTAAAAAACAGTTTGAGAGATTTGGTTTTGCACAGAGCTAACAATGTGTTTGCATCTAAGGCAAGGCTTGCAGTGTGTCACATAGGTAAAGGGCATTTTACCAAAATCTGCATTATTATTTTCTTTAAGTCCGAGTTATTTTAACCTTTGAATTATTAAGATTTCGTAACTACTAAATACACTGCAGGCAACCCCTCCTCTGCACATCTATTCTGTAAGTTATTGATACTGCACTCAATTAACCTTGGTAAGTGACTGTAGGCTGGATGCTGCCTCACAGATTCAGTCATTCTTGCTCAAAGCCACAGTTTGCATACAAACCACTGAATGGCAGCACTTAAATCTCCAAGTAAAATTGCTTTAATGGAAGCATGTACATACATGACATTTGTATTCATATTTGTATTCATATTAAGTCTCTCATTTACTTATCTGAAAACCTAAACATTGGGCAAAGCCAGCAGATTGTCCTTTTAAATAAAGAAGCATATGCAATTCTGATTCGAAAAGTTTACAAAAATGTATTTTTCTGTTTCTTTGGGTGACAACAGAAGGCATATGCAATTCCAACCTATGTACTATGCTTGTATTGGCTTTTGTAGAGAAGAGAAAATGCAATGAGCTGGAAATCCAATTTCTATTAGCAAGTCCAGTCCGAAGAACACTTATTGAGGTACATAAAAGTCCAAAAGCTATGGGGAATGGCAATGAATTGAAGGGAGACTCCACACAAAGGAACTCACAGGTAATCAGGACAGAAGCACAGCATGATCCACAACAGCTACAAACCAGTTCTCAGGTGCCTAAGACCTAACTCTGGTTGCACCAGCACACATGAATGAGAGAGCACAACTGTTTCACCTTGTCCTTGCTCTCAAGCTGAGAAATAGTTGTGCACACATTTTAAGAAGCCAGCTTTTCAACATTACAGTATGGTTTATGAGGAGAGAACAAAGTATTATTTCTTCCATAATACAAAAAAAGCACCATGCACAGTTGTTTCTACAATTATCCTCCTGAATACACTGTGCTGATGGCAGCATTGTCGTGAGAATTACCTCATGAAAAGAGATGAGGGAGTTGATATGATATTGTCAGTCTTTTGCATTGCTCCTTATATTTCTATATTACATCTCTTTTTCTCACCCTTTGGAGTAGGCTTTCACAAATTGTATTCTTCTATATGGGGCAAGTTAACAAAAAACAATGGGTTAGCATCATACAACAGTATTTGCCTTGACCAATCTTTAGCACGTACACACTGTGCACTGCCCAAGTGCAACTTTCCCATTTGATCCCAGTTTCCAAGTGGCTTTCCATTATCTCAAGCTCTAGAGGAATATTTAGTGTAGTCTATAAGTCTACACGGTCTAGTATTAGATATGGAGGTTGGTGGCCCTGCATGCGGCAGAGGGGTCGGAGCTTGATGATCCTTGAGGTCCCTTCCAATCCAAGCCATTCTATGATTCTGTGAACAGCTGGGTTAAAATGGATCTGTGGAGATCATCCACACCAAGCCCCTGCTCACAGCAGCACTAACTTTGAAATCACCTATGATCAGGATACAATTCAATATTTCTACAGTGACTACTCTAGCGGAATACCAGTCTTATGCAGGCAATAATATAAATTATGTACCTGCGTAGATCAAAGGTGTGCTGAAAATCATTTAGGTACAACATCTTCATTAAATTGAGTTCACCTTTCACTATAAGTCATCTTAAAAGATTGCGGAAAAAAAAAAAATTAAAAGGGTGATATTGATTTCAATGCTGGGCTCCAGTTATACAGTTGCATATTATCAAAACACGCAGTAAAGTGTAGCTAGCTTTACAATCATTTCCTGAATTTCATATGGTTTATATCCTCACTGTATAACTTAAATAATAATAATAAAAAAAATCATTGTTTGTAGATAGAATTCTGAAAAAAAGATAAAAGGAAATAAGGAAATGTCAGGATGGAAAATAAAACAACTTGGTTAAAATCACCAGGCAAGACACTGAAAGGGTATCTATGTCATGTATCTTACAGCTTAAGGAATGTGCTCCTCTTCCCCATACCTGTGAAAGTCTGCAGAATACAGCTTCAAGAGCTGCAAAGCATAGGAACCGTATGAGTGTAGTAAGGGCTCTGCACTGGGAAACTACCAGTGGTGAGAATCACTCATCGTGAGATGTAAGCATGAACTTCTACAGGATTTAACACCTCAGAAAAGCAATTAGCATGATTGCTTACTTGATGAACAGGGTGAATTTTATCCAAATTTAATACCATTGAAAACACTTGCAACACTGCACTTCTGCTTCCATATGAGAAAACAAGCCCTCTCTTCACTGCATTTCCACTTTCTGTTCTGTACCAGTTTCTTCTCATATCTGTTTCACCTACTATCAGATTTAAGAAACTATAACTATCAGTTTCATTACTACTCTGTATCTTGCTTATATTTGATTACAGTATGCTGTCGCTTTAGTCCTGAAAATGAGCTTTGCTTTCTAGCCTGCAGCTTGTCAAAAATTAAAATAGTGATTATCTTTTCTTCAAAACAGAAACAAATCTCCAAATATTCCAAAAGCAGTAGCTAAGCTTTGGCATATTGTCTCCTGGTCTTGAAACTGATTGAACTTTGCTTATCTCTGCAGTTGGTCAAGGAAAGAAATAGATGCTCAGCCCTTCCCCTTAGGAAATGCCATACCTGGCTTGTTTAGACTGAACAGAACAACAACATTTCAGAAGTACATCCTTCTCAAAAGCTAAACACATCACAGAAAAGCAAAGCTAACCATTCCAATCAGACACCGTTCCAAACAGTAGTAATTCATTAAGAAAATAACTGCTGTTCACCCCCTAGAGACTCCCACTGCATTTTACAACTGAGGAATTAAATTCAGACTCATTTTGTATTTCTGTTACCTGATTGGCTCCATTAGAGAGAGATGCAGTGGTGCTGAGCAGAGTGTAGGGGCCACACACTGATGTCGTTTTGCCTTGGTAGGTTTTAAAGGATTACAGCTGCTCCTTTGGCTTCTCTTGTGAGAACTATCCAGCAGCTTAATTAAGCAACCCTATTAAGATCTCTTTTCTTACTGCAGCCTTATTGAGAATCACACTTCCCCGGACACTTCTGGAATGGGGCAGTTGAGTTAGTAAGCCTGAATATTAAACCATGTCAGCTGTGTCTTTTGACCCCAGCTTTACCCCGGAGGGTACCTCTGGTTTGGCAGCCACATTCTCTGCTTCTTTACCTATCCCTTCAGCTAATCAATGAAATCCATCCTCTAGTGCTTTTCAGCAGTGCACAGCAGGTTGGGAGCAGGACAAACAACTGCCCAATTAAAATCAAGATGTCTGACATGCAGTAGGCAAACTGAAATCTGCCCGGGTTATCAGGGCAAACACCTTCAGGCTTATGCAATTAACCTCAGGATAATTGATGACCACAAGTAATCAAACTGTGGTTGGGGGTCTCATGTGCAGGAAACATACTAGGGCATATCATTTAGTACTGACTCAGAGAAAAGGGCTCTACTGAATCAATAACACCATCTCCTGAAGTGCAATGGGTTTCCTTCAAAATCTTTCTTAATTGCCGGATGAAATCACCAGGTGCTTGAAAGACTCAGAAGAGCAGCTACAGGTGTGCTAGTGTTCCCAGTGCCTCTGTAAGCTGTTGCATGCAAAGAATGGTAACGCCCTTTAGCTGACTGTGGGGAAGAAAGGCGCACCACTCTCAAAATCATCCCCTGATTATTTACTAGAATGATTTAGTAATAATACAGGCAAAAGCATGCATGGGGAACTTTATGGTACTATCAAAGAGATATAAATAAAACAAGAAAAAAAAACAACAACTCTTATTCTGGAGTTCCAGGGGCCACACAAAGAGCTGTACCCAAACCATTTCTCTGATAAGACACCAAAGGAACACTTCTTTCAAACAAGTCCTTCACCTTTCCTCCCCTCTACCTTCCACTCTTCATTTACCTTTCACTTCAGACTGAGAGCTTGGTGAAGCCTGAGTTTTCTTCTGCTATGACTTCTGTGACTTTTCATCTTCATTGAAAAAACTGATTTTTATCTATTTATTAATTTTTAATGAGGACAGCTATTACATTTAATTCCCTGGAATTATTACCTTGATGTAACTGTTAGAGGTTCATTCCCAGCAGGTGTATTCTATTGACCATAAGCAGCCACCCTGCCATAAGATCCCCTTTGCTTTCTCATCCCTGAAATTCCACGCTGAGGATCAGATCTGGAGAAAGCCACGTGATTAGCAAGGAATTTCCCTATTTTTTGCAACAGAGACATAAGCTCTGTCAGTGTTTGGGATCTGCTGTCAAAAGTGTCTGAAAGTCAGCAAAAAAACTTGTTGTAAAAGAACTAATTAATAACAGTTCAGGGTTCTTAAGGAGCTGACCCTCTGGAGACTTTAGAAAGTATTTCTAAACCCGTTCTGGAGCTGCAGTTATTAACAAATGGTTGATCTTCACAGACATCATCCTGTGGTTGCTTCCACTCTGTTTCCCACAGTGACCTCAGCAGCAAAGGGAAGCAAATCAGAAGAGTATTGAAAAATCAAAATAAAACCAAAATAAAATTAATTAGTATAGTCTATGGAGGTACTTGTCGTGTCTGTGTACTTACAGCTGAGCTGAGTCTTCCATTTAAAATAACAATCCAATGGCATTTGGTATTGTTTTTTTAACGTATAAGAGGCATGATTTTCATGAAGACTTACAGCACAACTATAAGAGCACGTAATGAATTTCCTGAGAATTTACAAGTACATTTATTAACTCATTTACAAAGTAAAATTAATTTTAAATATGGATCCATTAAGAAAATTGATGCTTTGGGTTTGACCTTTTGTTTATTTGTTTCTGCAGCCTTGGTAGTGGATTAATCCAGACCTTCATCATACTCAGAGATTGCAAGGATCTTGCGCTGACAACATCTGAAAGTTTTTTCCAAAATTGGTGGCTTTTTTTTTTTTTTTTTTTTACCTCTATCATACTTCTTATAAAAAATTCCCTCTTAAAAAACCAGCCAATGTTATTTTTTTTCCTTCAGAGGATGCTATGAGGAACATCTGAAGATACCTGAGAAGCCCACAGCTAGAACGGCCCTTTCACTTCCCACCAGGAGGGACAGTTCACTGCAGTTCTTCTGTAAACAGAGGGAAGCAGGTGCTGCTCTGAGTGATGAATCTCCCAAATATGCGCAGACGGATCAGTCCCACTGAGAACTGCCTTGTTGCGTTGTCGTGGGAGTGAAAAAATGTCATCCTTAACATCATTGAAAGCTAGCCTGACATCACAAACGTTCAGAGGCTTTGATTATTGCATGAGATCATTACAGTAAAAGGAGAAGACAGCATTAAACCATTAGGCATGTAGTACAGATGTAATTACTTGGGATAAAGGAGATAGCAATATATGCTTTGTCAAATCAGTAGGCAAAGGATGCAGCTGCTGTACGCAGCCCCTGCTGAAGGTAACGCAATGATTATGACAATGCCTATATAATCTTCAGCAATGTAATATTGCAATTCTATTCATCCTCTTTCTACTAAGAATCTCAAAGAATTTAATGACTTCAATGAATTAAGATTCTCCTTCTGTTCAGAACAGGAAAATACTTTAAGACTAGATCCACTTCTTTACAACAGAGTAAATCAGCAGAATTTTTGTTTAGTTTGATGGATTTAATCTCAGAGACTTTCTACACCATTAGGATTATGAAAAAAAAAGGAGGAGCCAAACACATTCAGGTTCCACAAAGGCACTGTTTGTATGCTTGCACAACGAACATACAACTTGAAACTTCAAACTTAAACTAATAACCCTGTCAGAAAGTATTTGTTCCATCCATGTGTAGAGATCCAACAGAGAGTTGGGTCACCTTTCTCTGAATCATTATGTTTTGACCATTCTTTGGGCAGTGTATGGCATGTGATAGATGTCTGGTCCAATACAACCAACCCCATGTACAAACAGTTAGATAGAATGTCTCCAGTACCTTATCCTTACATGCTATGCATTTGTGCGTGAAAAGCAATTATCGGGGCACATTCATGCACTCAGACAGTTTTAGAAGTTTGTCTACATCCTAAGATAATCCTTGCATCGATTGCAAGGTTAAGGAGTGTGCTTCCCATGCCAGAACTCAGCTGGAGCTTGAAAGGGCTGTGACCTGGAAACACAATGTTGCTACTTACGTAGCTGGATTTTTTAAAAATAAAATTTAAAAGGAGGAGATGTCAGAGCTCTGAGGGTTGAAGATTTTACTCTAAGGGTTACTGGTGAATTTGTCATGACGAGGCAATAAAAAAAAATTGGGGAACTAAAAAGAGAAGTCTAGAGAACGCGAGGCATACAGTGCCTCAGGGAAAAGAGTGGCATGTAATTATAACTGTACGCTGCTCTGAAAAGATAAAGCTGCATGTAAAAAGGTTATAGGCTCAGGGAAAGAGAGGAAAGATGGATCTTGGAACTCCAAAAGGGGGGGAAAAAGGATTTAATCATGTATCAGTGCATACTGTTCATTTAGGCATTCCAGTCGTTTTCTTTCATCTCATAATATTTTGCAGTACTGACCTGTGAACTCAGTGCCAGCATAATGTGGCCATTTCCAGCAACCTTATTCCTCAAAGGTTCCTCTCCCCTGCTTAGACGTTATTTAAATGATACCTTAGTATGGTTCTCTAATCAGCAGAACAATTTAAAAAATGAAAGTCTACAGGAAGAGCTCAGGCCTTTTCAAGATCACATTTTTCATTCTCACCTATCTGGAATTCTTCTCGTGACAGTATTTACAACAATTTGGCTTCAGAGACAGCATTCTGAGCTAAAGACAGAAGAAGAAAAGATGCCCATCCTCTCATCCAGACGACCCATCTGGGGAAGACCAATATCTGTGACTCAGTAGTGGCCAGACTTCAAAAGCATTTGAGTAAAGCATTGAATGGTTCTATCAGGGGAATCTGTTTCCACCTCAAAACACGAAGGTGATGGTACCTAGCTAATACCACCACCAAATCTTTTCATGTTTGGGCAAGTTTCTCTTTTTCCACTCTCTTTTAAAATAAGTGCTTATTTGAAAACATATCTAAAATGTAGTCAACTACTACAACATGCAGCAATAAGGCAGCTTTGTTTAGAGAGTAAGCAACAAGATCAAGAATTTAGTTTCCAAACCCATCTCAGCTAAAGATTTGATATGCACCTCCAGGCAAGTCCCATCAACATTCCATACTATTGGAGAGACCTATGAAATGCAGGGTAGCTGTATTGGAGATATTTAAATGGGTTGGGGCACTGACAGCCATAAAGCTTGATTCTGGGAAGACCTGTTCATTTTTGCACATTGACAAATTAATTACGCCAGTACAGCTTTAAGGGCTTCCGTCCTCCCAGTGACACTGCATTTATATATGTATATTTCTATGTATATATGCATTATTATAACTATAAATTGAGAGTGCTCACGCTGACTCATCTTAACGGCAAATGGGCAAAATTCCCTTCAATAGCCAACAATTTGTGAAGACATTAAGACAAAAAGTTTATAGAGGAAAAGCAAAGTTACTGCCATAAAAGCCTTGTTGGTAACATACTTCATTTTCTGCTGCCGCGAAATATGAAGAATGGTCGAAAACTGAGCTGCAAGCACTAGAAACTTTCCCTTGAGGGAGCTGCAAAATAAAGATTTTTGAAATATATCATAGAATTTATGGATGCTGTTCGTGCTGACGAGAATATGGCTTGCAGCCAGCCCTAAGCCTCAAGTCAAGTGCGTGACAGCCGTCATATTCAGTATAGCATTTTGAGGAACTGCAAGAGGACAGTAGGGTTATGTTCCTCTTAAACAAAAACCAGACTCAGGAGAGAGAGAAAAAGGTAGAGGATGACAAGGCCTTATTATACTGTAAAAACTAGAGGAACTGCAATGAGCCCCAAACACAAAGGGGTAGCAAGTGTTGATAGAAGTACTTCATGGTGAAACATATGGCATTTTCTCAGCCACAGTGGTTGGGCCCTTCTGACTACTTATATCAGAGACGAAACTTGGCAGTGAGAGTATTTTATGGCATATAACTAACAGCTCCACTAAGAGGAGAATTTCAAGTATTTTACTGTTAAGGGAAGAAGCATAACGAAGGGAGTGAAGAACATTTTCATTATGTCAGGCAGTAAAAACAAACCAGAAGAGACTGCCTACAGCAGTGGTTCCAGACCTGTGGCTTAACAGCAACCTCTTGCCTGCCAAACTTTCAGATATTGCTGGTGGCCACAGAGAGTTGCTGTCAAGCTGGAAATTGATGGGGAAAGCAAAGTGTAACATTGCAGAGAGGACATTACTTCTCACCGCTGTTGCTCTTGAATCAGCAAAAATGGAGGGCCTTGGCATATGATTGCAAGAGTGGGAGGTAAGAAGAGTTGGGGAAAAAAAAAAAGAAATAGTTTGACTAGATAAAGAAAGACAAGGTTTGGAGAGATAAATGATGCCTTTTACTAGAGTAATAGCTATAGCTTACAAAAACCAGACAGACATCCAGACATGCTATACCTTCTGCAAACCAATGTAAGAACACACAAGAGATCAAGGCTGACAGCTGAGTACTCTAGGGGTTGTAAAAACTTCTGTCTTGTGAATAAGCCAATTTTTGTAAAGCCCTGGAAGGTGCCATGCTCTTAACAATTTTGGAAGATCTGTGTGTAGAGCAATGGTAGAGGTGAAGCTAACTTCAAAATCCAGACAGCAGAACAAAGCCAAATTATGTGGGTATGTTTCGCATTGCCTATCTACCCATCTCCATGTTACTCTGCTTCCTACACACATATGGGAATAATGTATAGGGCCTTTTTGCATTTAAACTGTTTTCTATGGGATCATTGAATTCGGATTAAAAAAAGTAAAATACAGAAGTAAATATCACGAGATAGAAAAGTCAGAGAAAATGCCTCCATGGCATACTTTTTCTCCATATGTGTTTTCTCCACGTCTTCCCTCCATTCATTTCACCATCACATGATAGCATGGGTTTATGTCATATTCAGAGACCCACGAGCAAAAACTAAAGAATGGAACCCTTTCTCCTTTCAAGTGGAGGACTCTTGCTGGTGGCTGAATTGGCTAGACTCTTCCACACCAAATCAGAACCAGTGGACAACTTAGAGGGATTCTCAACCCAAAACCCAACTCTTCTTCCTGCCATGTCCATTTACTAGAAACTTGATCAATACAAAACCTTTCTTCTCCAGACAAATATGTAACAGGTTTTCCTACTGCTGATGAAGAGATTATTATCTTTTCTAAGAAAATTTTGTACAAACAGGCAGTACTAAATAACGTCTTGGAGACTGACTTCCTTTTAATCCTAAGTTATCTGCAAGGCAAGTCAAGCAACATGAGCTTTCTCCTCGAACACAAACATTTGTGAAGCATACACAACTCTTGCCATGGAGCTGTAGAGCACTCTATCCTAAAGAAATGTCTGGTACCAATGCTGCATATTGCACTTACAATGTACCGAAAAGCTTTATAAGAACGTTACAGAGCAATTAAGGAGAAATCACATTCAGGCCTTGCCCCTAGAGACCCCAGCACATTTCCCAGGAGCCACCAAATAGAGGGTTGGTGATGCCAGATCTACAGCTGCCAGAAGCTTTTTTTTTTTTTTTCCTAGGCATCTTGCCCCAGTCAGTGTGATCACACTGGATGTTTTGGAGACACAATAGCCTGATCTGTCTCAGGGGAACCTTAACGTTTCTGGGAAATCTGGATATCTCTTTACATTGTGCTTCTGGCTGAGAAAAAAAAGAGAAGAAAAAATTCCCCATTATTTTCTTCCCATAACTATCCTGCTTCTGAGCACGTTCCTGATCCCCCACAGACAAGCAGAACAACTTGATGCAGTGGCGGCACGGCTGAAAATGTACTAAATCCCGAGCCTTGCAGCTAAGACTTTCCTTGTTAAACTCTACAAATAGAAAATATCATGCTCATTTAACCAATACTACTCTTAAAACATCACAGAAAAAGAAGCAGAATAGGACTGTACCTTTGTAGGGCTGGTGGTTGCACTCTGCTGTTTCAGAATCTGTGTTGAGATAAAGCGATGGGGAGTTTCATAACGCAGTAACCAACTTGCCTCCTGCCTTCAGCACCAGTGCTCAGCATTGGCCAACGCCCATGGAGCCATTTGGGACTAAAGGGCTTCACCATGGCATCTTTGCTTTTCCCTTGCCAAGCACAGCCAATCAAGCCAGCAGTGTGTAAACCACAAACCACGCAGGAACTCACAGGCACGGCTGCTTACAGAGATGGGTGTGGGGCTCGGTTTTGTGCGGTTTTATTCTTCTACTCTCACGGTGACAGGCGCTTGAGAACAGTTTCTCAGAATGCTACAGCTGTTCTCTGCTCCAGCTGCATTTCAAGCACTGGGGCACCCCATATCTTGCTCAACATTTGGGTATTTGATGCATCTGCCTGGAAAATACCAGTCTGTTGTATGCAAGTAGTGGTCTGCAGAAGCAAGCTGTCAAGCATGTCCTGAAAGATGCCTTCTTTTCTTACATGGGGTGACTGGCGGTCATACACCATTTGCGTTTGAACTTCAGAGGCACTTCTCCTGCTGTGCATGTCCTCTGATGTGACAGAGTCCATGGTTGCACATATACAGTGTGCTCAGTTTTGCAATAGGGTAAGTGACGATGGTTTCAAATTGAAAGAGGGGAGATTTAGATTGGATATGAGGAAAAATTTTTTACAGTAAGGCACTGGCACAGGCTGCCCAGAAAAGTGGTGGATGCTCCATCCCTGGAGACATCCAAAGTCAGGCTGGAGGGGCTTTAAGCACCCTGATTGAGCTGTAGGTGTCCCTGTTCATTGCAGGGGAGTTGGGCTAGATGGCCTTTAAGGGTCTCTTCCATCTCACATTATTCTATGATTTTGTGATTCTATGACATGTGAGAAGATGTGTTGCATCTCTGTAGAAAAACACAGGCACACACAGGGGTCACTTCAAGCAGCGTAGGCACAGGCCATCAGAGAGATAATTTAAGAAAGCATTCACGATTTCAGCAGCCTCCATGATTATATCAACTGAGCAGCTGTCTTTGAGTGGTGAGAGAAGAGATGTGAAAATCTGATTCCCATAAGAACACAGAAAAGGTGTTTTGCTTTTTGAGTCATTGCACCAGTTCAGACACCAACAGGAGTGCACCATGGGAGGACGGTGGCCTGGAAAAAGCAACCACTGTCTACACCCAGCACTGAAGATTTGCCGGGACGGCATCCGTGCCATGGCTCTTTAGGATGGCAAAGTAGTTATGGACCACATAAATGCACAGAGAAAACATCACAGTTAAGATTTCTACTCAGGAGAATCTTTTTTTCCTTTTCATCCCCACTCCTGCCTGAGGCCTGCCAGCAGCCAGCAGACCCATGGAAGAAAAGTTGGCGACTAGAGAAATGGTCTTTACTGTAGAGTAGGAGTTCCCTTAGGAAACACAGCCCTGGCCCAAAGCGCTGTGCCTGCAGCACACGGCACCAGACTTCTCATGGGGAAGTAGAAAGGACTCAACATTAAGAGAAATGTCTCCCTGCAGCCATCACTCTGAGGCCACTTGAAATCATAGCCTAAAAGGTTAATTTTGCTTTGCAAGCTGTTAACGAGGAAAGGACCATTGGCTGGACCTGAAATAGATTTATAAATTATCGAGTTCTTGAGTCAATAATATTCACAGTCCCTAGTTTCCTGAAGCCACTTTTCTTGCCTTTGTATCAGACTGAGAATCTGGATGGGATTCTGTTCCATTAAGCATAGTTCAGAGCTTGGTGCTTTTTCCATCCTCCATGCTCAAAAGCAGAAACAGAAAATGTTGTAACTCCTCACTAGCATTGGTTTTGAAGAACAAGCAGCCAGGCTGGTCAGGTTGAATGTATGTCTCTCAGCATAGAACAGATGTTACAACTAGAAGTGGGTAGAAAGTTACTGACCGTATTATTGATAATATAGTGCAGGAGGAGGGCCAACTTTTTAAGAGCTCTGATAGCAATAAGACAAGGAGTAATGGCTTTAAACTAAAAGAGGGGAAATTTAGGGTAGGTGTTGGAAAAAATTCTTTGCTCAGAAGACAGTGAGGTGCTGGCACAGCTGTCCAGAGAGCTGTGGTGCCTCATCCCTGGAGGCTCAAGGCCAGGTTGGATGGGGCCCTGGGCAGCCTGAGCTGGGCCCACAGCACAGGGTGGGATTGGGTGGCTCTGAGGTCCTTTCCAATCCAACCATTCTGTGATTCTATGATATTAAAATATCTAATATTAGAAAAAAGTATATTCTTAATAATATATTCTGCCCTCCAAAATTACAGAGAAGGATTAAGCTGTTTTGTGAATTTCTAGTAGATTACTCTTTTGCTCTTTTTAATGATTTAAGCACTTCCAATATGAAATATTCTGATTTTCAGTTTAAAACGGCTCTTTATCCAAAATTTGACTTGTATAAAAAAGTAAAAACACTTTAAACAAACAATTTTTAGGGGGGGAGAAAGAAATGAAATATAACTTTCCAGTTATGTTGAAAACTTCAATCTTGCAAGCATTTCAATATGCATGTTGTTTTCACTATTACTAAAAATCAGTTATATACGCAGCACTGTAGTACTAGCACAAAGCACACAGAGTTGGCTCAAGGACAGAGGCACAGAATGCAAGAATCAAATCATGATTTCTTGTTTGCTAATACAAAGACCTAAGCAGTGTTCAGCTTCATTTCTATGACATGATCTGTATGACATTAACTGACAAACAAAAGCAAAAGGCAGGAAATTAGTTCAGGGCTGTATCCAGGCTTCAAGCCTTTATAGTCAGAATGGCTCAATTCAAATATTATTTCAATGAGAAAATCTACCATATTTTATGTTTCAGGTTTGTTGTTGTTGTTTTTGTCAGAGGAAGGTCTTTTAAGTTAATGACTTGTTTTTGGTATGATTCAACAGTACCGACATATTTTTATCTCAAGCACATCCTATCCCTTTAGTGTTCTAGAGTACTAGATAGATAAATATATCTCAGCATTAAGAGTATGTGATCAGTCAATATAGAAGTACTGTGGTTTTGCCCCTCAAACACTTAAATTGTAATGTCAGGTCAGAGTAGTACGCTCTTTTTACATGTCTAAAATACTCTGGAGCTCCTGAAGGGAAGGGGAAGTGCATGCTGACATTATTCACGTTGTCCTTTTTGTATGCATACAGAACTTCAAGCTGTCACTCTTGAACTTTTCATCATTTCCTAAAAACAAAGAAACAGAAAGAAGCATAGCATGCCCTGCTTGTTGAGAACACATCTCATCAAAATGCTATATGTACAAAAATCAAACTGAATGGGGTCCCAGATAAGAAGAACATGGTAATAAGTTTTCCATCCAAGCAAGTTATGATTGCAGCAGGATTATCTAATCAACTCATAAACAGAAAAACAAAAAAAGAACCCAACATCAAAGTATGCTGCCATATAACCAATGTCACAGTGCAACTCTGACAGAGGAAGAGAGAGAGAAACATACAAAAGCAAAAGAGAAGTCTTGTGATTGAAGTTTTTAATAGCTTCATTGAAACACACGACAAATTCAGTTTCCCTCAGTGGGAGAGGCAGATAAAAATGGACTCCATTTGAAGTGCAAACAACAAAGAGACAGGGGGAGTTGTAAAACATACAGCACCCTCCTCATAAAGATCCCACTTTCTCTCAGTTCCAAGTGTTTGCAACTGTCTCTCCCTGTGAAATCTTAATTAAACCAATATATTTCCCATCTAAGTCACTTGAAGATGTGCGTAGTTTGATAAAAAGGTTAATTAGCTGTATTCTCTAAAACATTAAAAAGGTACCATTTTGATCTTTTGCTTGAAATTCTCGCCTGTCCTTGCATCAAAAATATCCCTCAGTCTGGACTGTGGTAGCTAGCAGGCAAAAGCACACTGGTAAGCAGGGCGAGGGGGAGGGGACTGTGACAGAAAACAAACATTTATTATGAATTTTAATACTTTTTACCTTGTGTTCTCATAAAGCACATTACAGACTGTTTCCCTTCTTGAGGCTGGGTGTTTGTCAGGGCTTGAAATCTGATTGATCCATGATGAAGGCGGGCCCCTCTCTGGTGACTCAGCTGGGAATTGCACAGAAATCTACCCAGCCTGATGTGAACTAATAAAAAGAAAGGAGGGAAACAGGAACATCTCATAAAGCTGTGAAATGACAATTCGCAAGCATCATTTAAATCATTTGGAGGCTGCATTCCCCTTTTATGCTATTACTGCATTGACTAAAATGCACCTCCTGTTGAGCATTCCAGCTGTGGAAGCTGACAGATCCAAGTGATCCGTCTAGAAACACTGTTGTTACAGTTTAGCAGAGCAATTCATAAACAAATGGAAGCTCTTGGTTTAATTCTGTCACCTCTCTGCTACTGTTCAGAGCCCATCAGCAATTTCTTAAACAGAAGGGATGCTGCAGATTGACACGAGGCATTTCCTTCCCCTCTCCCCAGCTGCAGATATTGTACTTTTGGTGCAACATAACTTTCACTGAATCTGACATTTGCATTTGGATCTTGTTAGAAGTGCAATCAAAATGCTAACTACAGTAACACCAAAAAAGTCATCTGAAGCTGTGGTTTAATAGTAGAAGGTGTTACACTACTTTTGAACAAGCTTACTGGAAAATACAATGATCCATTTCTTCTTTCACTTGCTAGCGCTCTCTGTGTTTTTGGTAGACTTTTAACAGTCAGGTAAGCAGACTCAATAGAGACCCTCAAGGGCTTCCAAGCTCACCTGTGTGAAAGATCAGTGAACTAACATGTAGTATAGCTTCTCTTGGTGAGATTATGGATGTGACAACTCACAGGATGAGTGACTGTGGAAAGAACTGGAGACACGTGTCTGAGTGCCTCATGCTGTTGGGTTGTCTCATCAATAGTGGATGAACAAAAGTCACACACCATCATCAAGAGTTTCT